GATGTGTAAAGAGTCAAGTGCATTGTGGTCAAGCCATCTATCCAGTTGACTTTTCCAATTCTAGACTGTCTGGGAGTTCTTAATTCTGGAGAAGGTGTTTTGCCTCAAAATGACAATTCTCCCCCAGATTATTATACTTGGCTAGGCAGATAAAATGATGAGGGCTTTTATCTCTGTCTCTCTTCAGCTTGTCTCTTCTCTTGTCTCCTTCACATTGACAAATATCATATGTAATTGAATTTTAGGGTGCATTCAGTTCTTAAATGCCTGGTTTTCCTTGCGTCCCCCATGCTGTTTTGTCTTTTTTCCATCACTTCTCTGATTCCTTCCCTTAACCACCTAGTGACTCCTCTCTATTTTTCTAAATGAATGCTGTCTGTCATTCTGCACTCATCTCTGTGATTCTTGCTGTACAGAGAGCATTGCTGTATTTCTGTGTTCATACTTACTCTCCTTATGTGTTGTACTAAAACATAGTTTTTCTCCATTTCCTGTCCTCTTTAATTTTCTTCAGGATTAACTTTGACTTAAGGCTTTTCTTTTCTCGGGTTCATCCTCTATAAAGTATTCTGTTTATATAAAAAGTTTCACTGTTGGTTAAAAGTGTGTTAGTTCCTAGAGAGCAAAACGAGACTCCTGGGTCGGTTTTCTTTCTTCTAAACCTTCCCCCAATAGCATAATCCTTTTCTTTTTCATTACTGTTCAGTTCTTTTCTCTTCTTCCTTTACGTGTGCCACATAATATTGCTAGTATCACTAATCAGATCATTCAATGAGAAGTCTCAGTAAAATCACTTGCAAAAATCATAGGACTTCAAGCATTTTGTTCAATCCGTTTGGTTCTCTAATTTCACATACTGCTTATAGCATACCCGGATTTGGACAGTGTTCTCCTCAGTGGGAAGGACTCTTATTATGTGTCTGGCACACACTGGTATTCTACAAATACCAGCTCCTGGTGATGCTAATGACAGTGGTGATGGAGTGGGTGAGTGTTTTGAAGGCAAAAGGACACAGTAGGAGGAGAACAGAGATACCAGTAATGAGGTAAGAGTAGTGGGAGAGTGTGAGTCAGGAAGAGATAACTGCTGGAACAGATGGATTATAACACATTTAGTTTGTCTTCATTCTCCTGCCTCTGAGTTTCAAAAGCAACCAGCAGTACCATGTAAAGTATCCCAAAGCTGCACTAGTAGTTGTGTCCATCAAACTATCCAGAAGCCTTATTTTCTCATTACTTCATTCTATGAGGGTATTGGAGAACAGATTCTTTCACTCTGTTATCTTTAGTCACCCAACTCCAAGGGAAGGGGGCGATGGGAGCCTCATAAGGGTCATTAGTTGCCATTGAGTCCATTTCAACTCATTGCAACCCCGTGTGTGTCAGACTTGAGCTGTGCTCCGTAGGGTTTCCAGTCACTTTAAGAGTTACCTTACAGCATGGTTTAAAATCAGGAAAGGTGTACGTCAGGGTAGTATCCTTTCACCATAATTATTCAGTCTGTATGTTCAGCACATTATCTTAGAAACTGGACTACGTGAAGAAGAACATGGCATAAGGATTGGAGGAAGGAAGTCTCATTAACAACCTGCAAAATGCAGGTGACACAGCCTAGTTTGCTGAAAGCAGAGAGAACATAAGCACTTACTGATGAAGATCAAAGACTACAGCCTTTGTTATGGATTACACCTCAACATCATGAAAACAAAAATCCTCATGAGTGGATGAATAAGTAGAATCATGATAAATGAAGAAATGATTTAAGCTGTCAAGGATTTCATTTTACTTGGATCCACAGTCAACACCCATGGAAACAGCAGTCAAGAAATCATTTGACATATTGCAAATCTGCTGCAAAAGACCTCTTTAAAGTGCTGAAGAACACAGATACCACTTTGAATACTAAGTTGTGCCTGACCCAAGCCATGGTGTTTTCATTCCCCTCATATGCCTGCAAAAGCTGCACAAAGAATAAGAAAGATCAAAGAAGAATTGATGTCTTTGAATATGGTGCTGGCAACGAATATTTAATATACCATGGACTATCAGAAGAATGAACAAATCTGTCTTAGAACAAGTACAGCCAGAATGCTCCTTAGAAGCGAACATGGCAGGAGTTTTTCTCATCAACTTTGGACATGTGATTAGGAGGGACCAGTCCCTGAAGAAGGACATCATGCATGATACAGGAGAGGGTCAGCGAAAAAAGAGGAAGGCCCTCAACGAGATGGACTGACACAGTGGCTGCAACAGTAGGCTCAAACCTGGCACCGATTGTGAGGAAGGCACAGGACTAGACAGTGTTTCATTGTGTTGCACATAGAGTAACTGTGAACCAACTTAACAGTACCTAACAACAACAGGCATTAGCTAGGAGCCCCGGTGGTGCAATGGGTAACCAAAAGGTTGGCAGTTTGATCCCACCAGCTGCTTGGTGGGAGAAAAGACCTGGCCATCTGCTTCCTTAAAGATTATAGTCTAAAATGGCAAGGAGGAAGGGCAGAGTCCCAAACCAAAATTTTTTGGGTCACGAAAGAAGAAATGGAATATGTAACAGAATTTTGAGAGAAGACAAGCCTCTTCATGAGGGAAAAATGGCCCTCAGCCAGGCCCTAGCCCCCACTGCCTGTCAGATTGAGGTCCTAGTTCCCCACTCTTCCACAGAAGGGAACAAAAGGTGGCTCCCCTGACTTGAGCCCAAAAACCCATGTCCTCTCTCGCTTCCTAACTCCTCTCTGTCAACCATATCCTTTGTTGTGGAGAAATCTACCACCCTGAATTTAGAAAGTGATACTAACAGGGATGGTGCTTCATAAGGACCCCCTACAGTCCCTTGTCTTCTCCAAGAATGCAAGGCCACCCTGCTCCTCCCTTAAAAGAGAGAAGGAAAGGAAGGGGAAGGGAAGGAAAGGGAAGAGAAGAAAAGATTACAGCCTAGAAAACCCCATGGGGAATTTCTACTTTGCTCTATAAGGTCCCTATGAGTCAGCACTGACTCAAGGACACAAAACAATAACAAGGGTTAGCTAGGCCAAAATGGGATACAGTTATAACTAAAAGTTCCTGAATACCTTCCAGATTTAATTTAATTCTCACAGCAACTCTCTAAGACAAACATTCTATTAGATCCATCTTACTAGATGGTATGGTCCCAGTCCTACTATGTCACTGCCCTGGAGACATTTCTCGTGGAAGCCTGATTCCAGCCCCCGAGAGGCTCTGGCTTCTCTCTGAGCCTTCTGCTGCTTTACCAGTACTCCTGGTGTTTTAACCACTCTATGAAAAGCAAGCAAACCAACCAACAAAATGCTGCTTTTGTTGTTTGTTTGTTTAGTTCATATTGTTGAGGGAGAATGAAAGGGAGATTCCATACTAGATGTGTGGCAAATAAGTTTTGCATCTCTTCTCCATTCCACTGTGCTTGTTGTCATTCCTATGGTCTGTGTTTTTAGATGACATTGTAATGTTGTAAATGGTTAATGAGGAGTGATAACTCACACATGATATGTCCCTTATTGAGTGAAAAGTGATGATAACTAATGATGCAGATTGAGAATCGTTGGCATACAGATTTATCTTTCTTTTGCCTCTACCATCCAAATTTATTTTGAAATTGAGTTTGGGTTAATGATGAATGAAAGTTTTTAAAGTAATTGTCACCACTGGCCAGTTTCATTTTCTATTGCTATGTAAGTGAGGGACTTTCTTTGCTTTTCTTGTTTTAAAATAATAGAAGAAAAAAAAAGGAAGAAGAGGAGTAGCATCTTAGAAATCTACAAATATATTCACAAATATATGACATTAATTTTCTTTTTGTTCTTACCTAGGGATTTGGAAAATAAGATATTTTTTAAATGTCATTTATCTTTTCTATATCTCACTGTAGTAATGTTAGTATAATTGGGATTCCACATATAAGTGAAATTTTAAAAAAAAGAAAGTTATTTTAGGACTCTACTACTAAATTCCCTTAGATTGTTGTCAAAGTGACCTACATCATGCTGAATTCATCTCATTAGAAAACACCACCATTATGAGTTTCTACTGTGTATGGTATTCAGAATGAATCTTTGTTTCATTATAATCATCTTTGTTACTTAAGTTTCAAGAGAATCTCCACAAATGTGTTTTCAATCCTTGAATTATTATATGTCCTCATATTTCTGTTCATCTTTCTGGTATTTGATCATTATTTATTTGACAATTATGTATGGGGCCTTATTAAAAGCTCCCCTGTAGATGGAATCCAGACTTGGGTGCCATTCAGGCTGGATAAACTCCCAAGACTATTGCTCTGAGGCAATCTTTAAACTTTGAACCTTAAACTCACACTATCTCCTGAAGTCTTCTTTGAACCAAAAATAGTTCATCTTAATTAATAAAGTATGTCTGCTCTGAGCATTGTGCCCTTTTTAAAAATTTTCTCTGTGAGATCAAATCAACAAGGACAACTTTGAAGATCAGATGGGAAGCTTAGGGAATAGTGAGTTTAAGATATGGTGATGGATTGATTTGAAAAAGGATAGCAAGAATGGTAGCATAACTTGATGAACATAATCGATGTCACTGTATTATATATGTAGAAATTTTGAAATAGTATATTTTTGCCTATGTATACTGTCTTTTTTTTTTTAAAAGCTCCCATTTAGATGTGAACATCATCTAGGTCTGGGTAGCCATCTGGTGATTGTTGGCGTGCAGGAATATGCTCTCTTTGGCTGGGGCTTGAGAACAGGGTTTGGGGATTAAAGCGGGGTATCATCCTCTCAGTGTTCTGCTGAAGTGTCTCCGTTTGCTGTGAACCTCCTAATAAAATTCATATGCTGAAGTTGGAAAAGGGTTATATAGATATTATTCCTGTAGACTCTATTGATTTCACTTGAAAATTAAACCTTAACTTGAAATGATGTAAATGATGGTGCCATAAATTTGGACTTATTTTTCTTCATGCTATTTCTATTTTTCAGTTATTTTACTCTGTTATCTCTCATTTGTTTTAGGATTAGCAGTTTCCCTACAGCTGTTACATGGAGACATTGAACAAATCAGAAGAGAATACTCATCGGTGTTTTCTCACGGAGTATCCATAACGAGGAAGTTGGGGTTTTCTAATATTATAATGCCTGGTAGGTAACTATGGAGTCTGGGTGGTGCAAGCAGTTTGCAGTCTGCTGCTAACCTAAAGGCTGATGGTTTGAACCCACCCAGTCACTCAGCAGAGGGACCTGGCAAACTGCTCTGTGAAGGTTATAGCCAAGAAACCTTATGTCTGCTCTATAAGACATGGGGTCACCATGAGTCAGAATTGACTTAACAGACAAGGATTTCATTTTTGGTAGGTAACTTGGTAAGAGCCAAGGTGATGAAATATGGGTGTATTGTCTGCTTTTGGCTCTTGAGAAATTTTTCACATAGTCTCCTTTATAGAGTTCAAATGGACCGTGCTAAAAAATAAAATGAAGCATGTGATTAAACAATGAGTAAATTAAAAATAAAATATTTTTACATTTTCTTTACATTGGGGTGGGTAATTTTGGGGGCTATGATTGCATTTTATTATGAGTATGGTAAGAGGGGAAAAATGAACTAGTATCCAGAAAATATTGTATCCCTTGATGGAAAATGTTGGTGAAATTGCTTAGAGGATATTCTCATAAGTTTTAATAAGAACAGTTAATTAGCAATAGTTAGCCTATCTTGGCTGGTATGTATGTGTGTGTGTGTGTGTATACAGATTGTGTGTGTGTGTGTACACATACATATATATGTAATACACAGCCACATACAGAAGACATATATGATTCTATAGCTTTTCTAGTTCTTTTTGTGTATATAATTAAGATCTTTATTTGCACTCAAGACCCTAAAAATGTATGTCTTTTGTATATGGAAAAGGTATAAGTTAAGGAAATACACACTAAAATAAATGCCAAATTTATTGAAAAGTTGAGCATTTTGGAGTGGCACAGTCATAATCTCTCAACCAAAATAAGCTAAAAAAAATACACTCCTTCAACTCTTATGTTTGTTGTTGTTAGGTGCAGTCAGGTCAGTTCCAGTTCTCAGTGACCCTGTGTACAACAGAACAAAAGAGTGCCAGATCTTTTGCCATCCTCCAATCATTGCCATGCTTAAGCCCATCCTCACAGCCACTTTGTCAGTTCATTCTGCTAAGGGTCTTTCCCTTTGTCACTGACCCTCTACTGCACCTCAATCCTTATAGCAGTTAGGATCAACTGTGCTCTGGTGACACAGTGGGTTGGCATTTGGCTGCTCACCAGAAGTTCGGCAGTTAAACCCATCAGCTGCTCCATGGGAGGAAGATGAGGCAGTCTACATCTGTACAGATTTATAGCCTTGGAGACTCTTTGGGAGTTGCTATGAGTTATAATCAATTTGATGAAAGTGGGTTTCATTTATCATGTACAAGGGTTGCTATGAGTAGGAATCGACTCAGTGGCAATGGGATTGCTTTTTGGTTTTTTTATCATATGCAATCCAAGGAGTTGAGCAAGAAGGGTATAGCTTGCTGATAAGAAGATGTTTTTAGCAAAACTTAGTTTAGTTCATGTCAGTAAGCATTGAGCATTGACTCTGTGGTAGGAGCTGAGAGTATGAAGACTCTTTCATTCTACAAATATTTATCGAACACTTTCTATGTATCAAGGCATTCATCTAGATACTGGGGACACGACAGTGAACACGGGAGAAAAAAATTCCCTTCATTCATGCTTCTTACTTTCTAATGAGGAAAATGATAACATGTAAGTAAGATATATATGTTCAAGAATGATAAGTGCTAAGATGAAAACCAAGGCAAGTAAAAGGGCTAAAGAGTCTCAGAGGTGGTAGTGTATCGATAGGTTGAAATGTTAGGTAGGTGAGAAATTTAGGTGAGAAGGTTATTTCAGAGTAGAGACCTGAAGGAAGTGAGGAATCTATACAGATAGAAGCATTGTAGGCAGAGAGAAGGAGTACAAGGTCCTGAGGCAGTAGAATGCCTGCCATGTCCAAGGACCTGCAAGGAACCCAGCTTGACCAGACCACAGTAATGGGTGTGGAGAAAGTGTTTGAGGAAAATCATATGTGACCTTGTAGCTCACACTAAGCACTTAACTGTTATACAGAATGAGGAGGAAACAACTAGTGGGTTTTGAGCAGAGGACTGACAAGCTAGTTTACATTGTCTCAAGATCATTCTGGTTACTGTGTGGAGATTATACTTGGAGCGGGATAAGAGAGCAGAGTAGAAACAGGGAGACCAGTGTGAGGTCTTTTGTAGTAATCCAGGTGAGGGATGACTATGACTTGGACCAGAGTGTTAGCAGTAGAGATAGATGGTTGGTGAGAAGAGTCCATGTTCATGCCGTCAGCTGGGTTACAATCTAAGGTGCAAGACACACTACAATTTTTAAGGGGTTAGAGGGAGGTGATAGAATCCCAACCTGGGGTCTTTTTCAGGCTTCCTGGAAAGAGGACACCTGAGCCGAGTCTTCAAGGCTGATGATTTGAGGCCCACATCTCCCGAGTCATTATTCTCACTCCTGCATGGCACCGATAGCAAACACTTGTTCTCATATGGAAAGAACACACAGTCATAACTAACAAAGTGCCATATTTAATGTTAAAAAGAAATTTCTGAACTCTAAAATTGTTTGAATTTCTGTAATTCTGCAAAAGTCAAAAGTTTGTGAAAGAATAATTTTTTAAACACCATTGATGCTTTAAGGCTAGGACAAATTTTTTTAAAGTCTAATTGTCATTTAGTAGGTATCAGAGGTACTAGACATCTAGGGATTCTCTGCTGTGACTGTGTGGAGTGGGCAGTGACTTTCAGCAAACTTAGGTTCTAGGTGTCTCTCCCTTTATGCATCTAGACCTATCATTTTCTTTCTCTTTTCCTTCCTTGTTTGTCCTTTTCTTCTTCGTCTCCTCTTCTTCATGTCTCTCTCTCTCTTTCCTTCCCCCTTCTCTTCCCCTTCCTCCTCCTTTTCAGACCTTACTTTACTGCTAACCAGAAGGTTGGTGGTTCAAACCCACTGGCCACTCCTTAGAAGGAAGATTGGGCAATCTACTTCTATAGTGATACTGCCTCAGAAACCCAAGGAGGGGTCGCTATGGGTTGGAGAAGACTTGATGACACATAACGACAAAACAATCCAGTATTGCTGTTGGGTATCATTGAGATGATTTCAACTCATATTTCGAATCGATTTGACTCATGGCTACCCTTCCTTGTGTTTCCAAGGCGGTATCTCTATGGAAGTAGATTGCCCAATCTTCCTTTTGATATCTAACCTTGGAATAGTATAAGCTACACAGGTTATTATGGCTTATATTTATTGAAAACATTTTATATATTTTATCCTTTACTCTATAAGCCCAAGAATGAATTTTTATTAGTCATTGGGTTTTATTATAAAAGGCCATCACCTTATGTTTGACTTAGTCTCCCATAGTAACAAAAAGTTTTCACCTGTTTTCTAGATATCAGAAGCTGGAACATACTGTATTAAGTAGTAGTATTTGTCATTGCTGCACATACCCTCTCCCTGGTCCACAACCAAGAAAAGGAGAAAAATAGAAAGACCAAATGAAGTACTCTTAGTACTGACCTTATTTTTAAGAATGAGACCCTCTACGCCTTTGTTTAAATTCCATGTGTAGAATGAAGCAAGAGAATGAAGGCAGGACACTTGGCACAGCTTTGAGACCCAATGGTAGAATTGCTATGAAAACAGACCTTAAAAGATACAGAAACTGACTTCCGGTAAGAAGGAGGAATAGGCAGACAAGCAACACAGACCCTCTTCAACAAAGAAAAGTAAAACCAGTTGACAGAGACACAGAACGTAATCCTGGGACCCTGAGCTTTGAAAGGAACTATACAGAAGTGGATTAGGCACCAACTAGTGGAAAAACCTGAACGAAAACAGTACAGAGATGGTCGGAACTGCGGACTGTCAGCTACTCTGATGAGACCAACAGCCTGAATATTTCCAAGTGGTGTTGGGACCTGAGAATTGACCTAAAGATCAGTCCCAGTCACCAAGGGCTGCATGGACAACTGCTCTGGTGGCCTATGACTAGGAAGGGAAACAGCAAGGAGGGAGATAACCTGAGCTGTGTACTTTCTGCTGTCCAGAGGGCACAGCCATTTTGATTGTTTACATGTGGCAGCCATTTTAGATAATTAAAGTGACCAAGGGCACAGCCATTTTGAATGTTTATAAGCACCGGCCATTTTGGATATTTAAAGTGACCGAGGGCGCAGCCATTTTGAATGTTCACAAGTGGCAACCATTTTGGATTTTAAAGAGACAGCATTCTCATTCAGATTCCAGGGACCTAAGAACAGGCTTTGTTTGTCAGGGTTGGCAAGGACATATGAGAGGCTGATAAAGGAGGCAGGTAAGTGCTGTCAACAAGTGAATAGAGGAGCACAGCACAGTACCCTGCCTGTATAGATAACATACAAACAAAACAAAGAAAACAAAAATTGTGGGCAAGTCACTCCAACATGTAATCACCAATTAAATATAAATACAAAAATGTCACAATGCCTCGGAGACAACAGAGCATCACAGTCCAAACAAAAGAGCAAGATAAAGCAGGAGAAACAAGGGACAAGGATACAGACCCAAAACACATCCCTGAGGAAGACACAGCATTGGAACTCTCTGATAAGGAATTCAAAAGAATTATATTTAGGTATCTTCAAAGGATTGAGAGACAGACCAAGGAAAACACAGACAAAACCCTAGAAGAATTTTGGAAGAAAATACAAGAACAAAATGACAAAATAAATGAAAAATTAGAAATGATTCTAAATCTGTAGGTAGAAATCC